TTATTCCATTAGTTAGTGTTTACTGTGCAATTTATACGTAAAAAAAAACTTGAAATAAATGCTTATTCATACATCATAGTCATGGACGGCATAAAAGTAAATACAAAGAGTTGAAAAAAGTGGGTTTTTCTTTTCACAAACAACTATGCTAATGGATAATGCTAATATGGAGGATTAAAGACGAAATTAAGCTTATTCTTTAGCTCGCTACTTAATCAGATTATTACAGAAACGAGTAGGTAGGTACCTATTTTACGAAATAAAACAATTACACTTGTTCGCACGGTGAAACCTGAATCCGCTTTCTTGTAATGACGAATAATGCACCTCATGATAATGGTGTTTTAGCTTATTTTTGCTTGAAGAAATCTCAATTATTAAGAGAATGTATTGTGCAAAAACATTGTAATCGCTTCCCATGGCGGGTATTGTTGCTAGACGGCATTGCATCTCCAAACACTGCAGTCGACCTCAGGGTTGGCGCACGAAGTGATTTCAACATGGACGCTGTACTTCATTTGACAATACGTCTATTATATGTAGCTACTAATACTAAGCTGTAGTAATACATTTAGGCTTATTTGTATGTGCTTCTATAGTACCAGGTCATCATCATTAAGAACTCAAGACCATTTCGTAACAAAGATCCATCTTGATGACAAGATAAAGAACTCTATGTCATTGTATTGTGTGTATCTTATAATGAATATTTATAAATAGCAAGTTATGTAACAGCGAACCATCATCCTCAGTTCAAGGTCTAACTATAAGTAAATAAAATTATATAACTTAACATTTAAATTAAAACATCGTTTCTAATAAAAAAAAGTGATGTTAAATTTTAACGATTCGTATAATAATTACGTGAAATTTTAATTCGTATAATAAGACGGGAAAAAAATACATGGAAAACATGGCCAATGTTTTCGTAAATTACCGCGTTCGGCGTAGTACGCCCGCGGCTCGACGCTGAGGGATGCTTATAATATAATTTTATCAAAATATTTACAAAGGACTTTGTTATTGGACAACCCTAGGCGGTACAATAGTGTTGTTTCCTTATCTCGGCACAATGCTCTGTTCACATTGTTTTGTCTATGGTATAATCAGCGTAAAAGTAACGCGACTACCCTTAGATAAAGAAAATAATAGCATAATTATCTGGGTTCATATCATACGTTAAGTACTTATTAGTGATAGGTGTAATTTGGACGCCTACTGAAATAAATGTGCACCTTGCAAATTGGCAATACCATGTTTTTTTATTTCTAGCAACACTGACGTAAAACTGTAATTTTTAAAATGGCGTTTCCGTATTACTGAAGCGTTTATTAAATAATACCTCTTTCTTCAGCAATTACTTGAAGCCTATCCAGTAATTTAGATTTTATTTTACTACATCTGCTACGTCATTAGAGAAGACTATCTAGTTAACTTTAGTGCTCTGTATAATAAAAATACGCTCACATTTATGAAAATAATAAAAACGCATGCAATTTTAATAATATAGGCCATAAAATGTTGTAAATAAAAACTAGTTTATAACATACATTTTCAGATCTATCCGTAACTAAATGCTGATGTTTTATTTCTTTAAGGGTTGCTTTTCAATGGTTAGATAAAAGTTATCTGGGGAATAATTATGATGCTGTCGCGTCAGAATGTTTGTGTAAGACAGTGACAGCAACAGTTTTATTCCTCATATATTATTAATCTGACTATTGAAAAATCAGCCCTAAAATAGCTGATTTTTTTTAAAACGCAATAACGAGTTATCAATTGTTAATTTAGTAAGTCGTCACAGATTTTGTTGGAAACAAAATGACAGATAATGTAAAGATCACGTAGATAAACAGAATAATAGTATCTTGTATTATTGAACTACCTATTTAAGTAAATGTTTTTAAACAAAATTCCGTATCTAAAGATATCTGAGACTGAGACAATTCTTATAATAATAAATGAGACGTGGTTTTACACATGTAATGATTTCGCCACATTTCACAATATCAGTTGAGTTTTTGAAGTGTTACTAGTTTTTTTCTTTAGTGAAAATGCATATTATGTGAAAAAGAACTCGGTAAGTTTGATGCAAAAGAAAAAGTCTTTATTTAATTTCGTTCCATATCTCTGTTCTATATTCAATAAGGCTTATCGTACCTACAAGTGTTTTAAAAAATTACTAGAATGTGCGTATCGTAAAATTTATGACGTAAACAACCTATGACGTCACCATTCAACGTCATACAAAGCGTTTATTTTTGACATTTTATAGAAGAGCTACTTCATTAACCTATTAAATATAGTTAATAACTAATTAGTTATCGTTATCAACTATTTTCTCTGTTTTATGTTGTCCTCAGACTCTTAAATATCACTTGGACCTTTGAACTCTCAAAGTTAGTAATGTTTCCCATGCTAGCTTGCAGATAATGGTTATGAATGACAACAAGGACATTAGGTATTCGCAACGGGACCGCACGTGACCCCCCCCCCCCCACTCTCGCCGCCTAGACGTGACCAGAACATTAATATCACCTTGGACACCTTGGATACGAAAAGCTACGAGAGACTTCTAACTCTCTAGTGGTAGGTTCGCTTCACCAAATTATTAACAAGATCCTCCGCTGGACAGGTGTACTTATACGTATTCATGGAATAGACCAAAATATAATAAAAAATGACAAATGCAAGATTAAAAAACAACCTTTTTTTTTCTTGGCAACATTTGTAGCAAATGCCATTAATGATTAATGAAAAAAAAAATGTTGTGTTACATAAAAGGTACAACAAAATAAGTTCGTATTACCTGGTACTGAGCCTGGTACGTACCTACCTACATTATTTTAATTAAAGAAGCCTAGACCTAAATGAAGCTAGGTAAATTAAACAGTAGAGAAAATATCGAAGTCTTTGCACGTTTATAGATTGCAGAGTTTTAGGTGTGTGACCAGACTTACTGACGGCGTTACATGAGGACTGTCACGTCCGCCAAGAGCTAAGAAAGTATGATACAATTATGATGAAATGAAGGTATACTATCCAGTATTTGTTTAAGAGCAGATTTTTCAATAGTCATATAAATGTTATTTGAGCAATAAAACTGTTGCTGTCACTGTACTATACAAACATTCTGGCGCGAGAGCATCATAATTATTCCCCAGATAACTTTTATTTAACCGTTGAAAAATCAGCTCTTAAGCAGATTAATAATATTTTAATATATAAACAAGAATTTCCTTCCTTGATTCATTTAACCTTTTGGGATTCCCTGAACGGTAGGCGTCGTCATGAGTCACGGTTTTCATGTCCATCTTTGGGACAATTAATACAACTCGCATTTCAAAAAGTAGTTTACTTATGTGGAACCATTTTTGGGGCATGGGATCCTAAAGCAAACCTTTTTAAAGAGGATCCCCAACCTTTTAAGTAAAAAAAGTAAATATGTTAATCAATCATACTCCGTGGGGTTTGAACAGAATTCTTGGTGTACCTATATAAATTTCTACCCCTAAGAAACCCTTTTATTTTGTAAATCGCACCATTCAATAAATACTACACGAAACAAAATATACTGCAATGAAACACACTGAGAATAAAGACCTCCGTTATTTAGTTCTTTTACTTTTTCAACTTGAATTTCGTCAGAGAAGATCGTGTTAAAGACGTAGCCATCTTTTTCGAGTACCGTGGCTCAGAATACTGAATTATAATTCGTATTGGCAAAAACTGTGATACGTGATAAACTAGACTAGCAAATTAAACTACGTTGAACCTCTGTAGATAGTTCTCAACTAAGTTAATCGACTAGCCTTTTTCGTGCAATCTTTGAACATCTAGATGTCGCCACTTACGTTTTATGGCTATTGACAATAATTAAGTTGAATGTTAATCTAATTATCGTGTTGTAACACTTCCTCTTTCCGTCTAAAAACTGGTTAAAACGAAGGTTTAGTAGCGGTACTTCATTAATTAAGAATAGATATATATATTAATAAACTCAGTGTATAATGAAAGAAGCCATAATATAATAAAATTGGTCAAAAGTTCTTCACTTCAGTTCTAAACAAGTGCGTGTCAATAAAATTGTGTATTAATATCACAGACACGTTGAATCTAGGGCGTAATAAGACTCTCATGATCGAAGGTAACAATTCAATTTAGTTAAATAACGCTAATAGGTTGAATGTACTACCAATTTAGAACGCTCACAACTTGTTAACAGGTTGATCAATTCGACTTCGTACATAGTCACCTCGTTTGCTTTTCTATACAACGAAGACGGTAACCGCAATACCCAAAAACTGCCAAAATTCTTTATTACCTTGTTATAAAGTTGAAAATACATTAGCAAGTTGGGATAGTCTACAGTCTACTGTGTCGGTGGCTACACAAGTTGCTTCCGTTGTTTTAAGATCTGATTGCATCAAAATTATTAGTACCTTTACTTTTTTTACTTTTTTATGTCCTTTAAACATTATTTTATTGAAAATTATTTCTTAAACAAGTAGTCCTAATACTTTCAAATTTCTCGGATATTATCTTGGTATTTGAATATAGCTCAAGTAATAAGTAAGTGCATCCTTATTCTTAATGTGGCCATCAATCAGCCTTATCTATCTTCCAGGATCGTTAGTTAGCGGTTAATCTATGGAGAGGTCATTATCCATTATAGGAGATGAGATTCACATGCTGTTCGCCGAACGCAATAGTGAAACGGCAAACAACATTTTCAAGTTTTGTAAAACCTAATCCTAAAACTGATCTTAAACCATTTGAAGTCTCAATTGTTTTAGGTGAGTTTTTCGATTGGTCCATCGGCAAGAATGTTAAGGGCAACTTTACCGTTTAAATAGAAATCGTAAAGAATGGACGTGATACTGTAATGTGGAATCGTTTACGCCTTCATAGCAATGGCTAATGGCATTTTTTCTATCAGAATTATTGTGGTTTTCTTTCTAATGGTTGCGGTTGTTCGTAGGAGCTTTAAGGAGACCCACCTGTATGATAATGGCGCTGATCCATATCCTGGTTGGTGCAGACGCAGCTGTGCTGGGGCGTATGGCTGTGGGGCATAGGGTGCCGCGGGGGGTGGTCTGGGTTGCGGCGGCGCCACCACACCCCCCGCCGCCGGCTTCCCGCCGTACGCCAGCGCGCCGCCGCCGTGCCCGTGATCCGTCTGCCCGGGCCTGGAACAACACGAAAACAAACATAAGTCTACAAGAATAAATACGAGGATATTGATACAAGGAAAACCCTATACGCCTAACAAATCATAACAATTCAAATCTAATTAAAAGATCTGTCTGTCTATGACATAGATACTAATAATGATTCCAAATGCAACATGGAAACAAAAGCTCCTGATGAGTTAAAAAACAAAATGTATTTAAAGTTTGATACTCTATCTGCATGTCAAGGAGAAAGGAGAGAAATCGATGACAATTCATATTGACATGAACAATTTGCACTAAGAAACACACTGTGATTGATCAACAAAGATGGCGCTTGGTTGCACTAGACAGGGTGCGTTATGTACAGACTTACATAAATATTATTACACGAGAATCTAGTTAAAGTGGACCCTATGTGAAATCTATCGTAAGAAAATTAACTTCAGGCCACAGAAAGAAAGTTTGCTTAACTGAAAAACCTACACCTAAGTGAAAATAACAAGGAACAGTGAATTAATCTACAAAGCACTTTTGTCTGTCGATCGGTTTTTTGTGAGCATAAACGAAATACAATAGGAAACGTTGAAATAAAACCACAACACACCAGACCACGACAGACGGCGATCGAGACCTTTCCCTCTCACGCATTTCACTCTCAAAAAAAGACACACTTCAATAAGTTTACTTACAAAATAGTAAATAACGTTTGTATCTAAATTACAAAATCGCCATAAACAACGTTCCGTTACGTGTTTAATAGTAATAAATAATAATGTGACCGATATCCGTTCGCGAATAATCATGACGCACAGGTCAATCACCCAGCCACGGGATGGCGGGCACGCCGGATACGCATAAAAAACTGCTTGATTAACACATTAATTCTATTTAAAAGTTGGTTTAGATTTCATACGGATTTACGCACCGTATCATTTATTGGATGCAGTATAAAATGCAGTGTTAAGATGTGTAGTAATAACTCCCTATTTGACCTTGAATGAGGTCAGAAGACGTCCTATTTTAGCGTCCGATCTCAACGAACGGTACTCGTATCTTCCCGTCGAGTTATAGACGCCATTATTAAATCAATTCAAACTCGTAATGAATGCGTTCTAATTTTAAATTCATTGATCCGCTATCTCCATCATCATCCATTTTGAACTTTATGGTGTGATGTGGTGATTAAAAAAAGTTCTCACATCATTCAGTTGGTACTGTGTCATTACATATTTACATTACACACCATACATCCATGTTTATCGGTAAAAGTCACGCAGTAGTTATAGGAATCGATATTTATACGCTGACTACCCAAATATTATGAACAGTCGACGACAAATCCATGTCAATGATTTGGTGAAAGGTATTCACGGAAGTTAAGTCCTTATTTCTACTTGTAATAAAACTCGTATTGTCACAGCAATAGTCAAGCATATTTCTTTTTAGTTTTCATTGCTTGAAAATCCATATCGGGGTTAGGTTCCCAAAAGTATGATGCTTTAAACTCTTTTTTGTTGTTATGTGAGGCTACGCGCAAAACTTGAAAACAGATGGATTAGTTTTGAATTTCTTTTTGATCCAAGAAGGTTCTTATGCTAGCATGCTAGTAGATGTTAAAATATCAGGATCCTAAGAACCCATCATGCCATCTTTTAGGCCAATTATGACTATAAAAGGAGAAAAATTTCAAAGATAACTCAGTTAACGCAAAAACAATTAAAGAATTTAGAAGACAAACACAAATTTTCCTATAACGGAGTATTCATACCATTTGCACAATACAGAAGTGCATAAGATATGCAGTAGGTAACTACAATGAGTTGCATTCCAACTGCACGCAACGTAGGACTGTTTCGGAAACAATAGCTCATATGTCACTGTCTTTTAGCTTTCCTGTAATAGATACTAGACAGACCAATTGTACATCTTCAGATTTTTAGGCGTTATTGCCAAATATGCCAAGTAAAGGAGACCAATGCTTCGGCACGAATGGAACCAGCACACCTCATAGAAAACCAGTATAAAGCGATACTTACGTTGTGTTTGGCCATGTGAGTGAGGTTAATGGAAATCCTCGTCAAATCCCCTATCCTTAAATCCCTAAGAACCAACAAGAGTTTGGCAACGCACTTGTAGTAACTCCTTGTTTTACGAGTGTCCATGGGCGGCGCCGATTGCTTACCATCAGGTAATCCATCTGCTCGTTTGCTGATACTAAAAAACAATATACAGCAATCCAGATAATGTGAGATTTATACTATCGAATACAGTCTAAAACTTTTTAGAACAGCGTCGAATAGTTCTGTATCTGTTTCTGTCTAGACTTGGAAATTGGCACAGAGATAGATTATAGTCTGGAATAACACATAGGTTAGATAACAGGAGCAAAGCCGCTGGCAAGAGCTCGTATCACATACTTAACCTACATTGATTCATCAGTGCGTCAAATCTACCGACAGACAGTTTATTCATAATCTAGTAAATATAATTAATAATAACCTAAAAATAAATCATGCTCATACAAGGGGATAGAAGATCCGAGTTTTTTATTATCAAGGTCAAGTTTAGGACGTTTATTTCTGTGCTGATGTCAAAGAGAAATTCAAAGATAGTGAAATATATTGAGGATAAAACCCAAAGTTTTCTTTCTAATATTTGTAAACGCATGATAACCATAGCTACGAAACAAGTTACGTTAGTGAAAAAAATATTCTTTGGATCAGTTATTTACGTCCGAAGAAAAACTCCTTCCTCCTTCCGTTAAAAGGAGAACATTGTAAGGAAACCTGCTTACAATTCTAATTTTAAGTTTGAATTCGCCAATCCGTCTTGTGAAAACGTGGTGATTAATGCTCAATGCCCTTCTCCGTGTGAGAAGAGGCCTTTGCTCATTTCCCTCATCTCAATTTACCTTCCTATACAAAAACCTATGAGAAATATTTCCACGAGTATAAACTTGCATGAATATACCTTACCTTTTTAGGAATCCATAAGACCTTGTCTATAAAACTAGAGCAATCCGACCAGCTTAACTACAGTCATTTGTTTTATTACAAAACATAGGTATGGCATGATACATTATTCCATAGACATATTGATACTTTTTAGAATGTATTTTTTTTTGTTTTTCTAATTCCCGATCGTGGTTTGTAGAAACGATTGTTTCGCGTGCTAGCATAACCGAATTCAATGTTAGGATGTAGAACAGGGTTCCGTGGCCCATAATACTGTTATTTATGTCGTAAGTTCTGTATTTCGCGGTATACAGAAATAGAAGGTCATTTCGGCGGAGTTTGGTATGTAAAGTTGTATCGATGTGTGGTCAATTGTTATCCTTATTTAGTGTGTTATAAAACCTATTTCGGTAGTATCTTGGATTGGTTTTTTCTGTTTCGTAGGTTGTTCATTGTTATTTTATTCTTATTATAGTTTCAGACATGTTTAGCGGTAACCTAAAAAAAAACAATCTATTAAAATTAAAGATTTATGAATAAACAAAATCAAAACCCGACTTATAACTCAAAACTCACTTTAAAAAAAGTGAGCGTTTTAGAAAAAAATCACAAGTCGCTTGAGAAAACAACCGAGAATCGAAACTTTTATATTAAACTTTACACATATACCTAGATATACAAAACAAACAGCACATCAACCTACACTAAACAGCCAAAACTTCAATAGATATGTAACCTTATTACGAAAACTAAAAGTTGCAATTCGATTTAAGATTAGAATAGGTGTACCTGCGTTTGCCACCGTCGTACATCGCCTGAATAAATAAGTCGTTACAATGTTGAATGCAGATGAGCACAAATACTGACAACGGACAGATGTCCGTGGTGATTCACCGGTTTTGTGGTAGGGACCAGGTGACTGACTCATGCACCTTACGGGGCACGCATGCGATGCGACACCAAATGGCAATTTAGATAGCTGCATTATTTCTCTAACTTTTATATTGAGCAGTTTTCCTACAATTTGAAGACGTTTGAGAGCTTTCTCCGTATCTAGAATTAAGAAAATTATAATAATTATTAGAGTTCTTTTTGTTATTTTATTAATTTAAGTCACGGACCGTATAAAAATGTTTTACGAGGTAATTGACCAACAAAAATGTTAACGCTTCCAATCCCTACACAAACGAAACGTTTCTAAAATTTATTTTGAATACTTTAATCTTCATCCGAACGTATGATATTTACAATAGCACAAAAAACGTCTTACAATTTACAAGATTTCGCACACAATCAGTCTTCAGAAACGTAACGACAAAAACTTCAGAGCAAAAATAATTTAATAATAACACAAGATCCCAACAATAAACGAAAATATGAAACATTTCTGAACGTTGACCTCGCCATTGAAAAGGAATAAAAGGTTCCATTTTTGAAGAAAATACCGCGAATTTTCCCGATCCGTATTTCTTCTTTTATGTTTAAAAATATGATTCAATGAAAGTAAATAGGTACAGGGATCGGAGAGATCCTCGTGAAATCCAACGCCCTTTTGTATATCGAACTTTTGGCTGTACATATTATACTTTTTAATCGGTTTCTTACCAACTCAATTTAAAGTATAATAAAGCTCGTGGTAATAGATTTTTAACTAACGATGAGAACTATCTGTTATTACTAACTTATACTGTATTGTGTTTTATTAAATAAGTAAAGAACAAAGTCGTAATCTTTTTTATCTGATCAAAAACCGAATGCACAGCAGACAGATATATTTATTGCCGTATTTTGGCCGTATTAAAGAAAATTTCCAGCAACCAATATGACTTTCTAAAAAAGTTATAAAAAAAACAAGAAAGCGCGCATAGTTCCGAACAACAGTCAACAAACACGCTAGTAAAATATATTTATGGTTGTCGTTGCCCAATTCGAGGAAAAAAGGTGAATCTATGGGTAATTATTAGGGTACGCATCCCTTTTACGCGCGAAATTTGAGATTATAAAATATGGCAGAACATAACCTCACTTTTTATAATTTATGTACATATACATGTATTATGT